TAGTTTCTATAGCTTTTTATTTGTCTTACAGTTGAAATATATGTTGTGATTGTTTACGAAATATATTGAATTATTTGTCAATTGTTCGTTCATTTTATGCATGACGAAACCCGAAATTTATAGTTTGATGGTCACAACAAATTTGAGCATAAAAATGTTAAAATTGTACACTAAAGGTATTATATTCGAAATCACTGGAACACGACTGGTTTTAAATATGCTTGAACTGAATTTCATACATGGAGTATTTCAAAAGTTCTGATCGGTTATCTCTGTTTAAAAACTTTTGAAAATCATGCATATATGAAATTCAGTTCAAGCATATTTAAAACTAGTCGTGTTCCAGTGATTTCGAATATAATACCCAGTGTTTTGGGTGTACAATTTTAACATTTTTATGCTCAAATTTGTTGTGACCATCAAACTATAAATTTCGGGATTCGTCATGCATAAAATGAACGAACAATTCACAAATAATTCAATATATTTCGTAAACAATCACAACATATATTTCAACTGATAAGACAGAAACTAGAACAATGTATAAACGAACAATATTTTACTCATATCATGAGTAACATACCAATATGTGCACGGGCAATAGGACAGGTGTAGTGTTGTTAAATAGAAAGTTAGAAATGGTATTATATATTATGTTTAAAAGATCAGAATATTCATAACTTCTTATTTTGTTTCATAAATAGTTCTTTAATTAATATTCGAAACAAATTCCATATCTGCTTCTCGTCTGCCATCGCCATGTTTACTCTTCCCAATCTACATGCTACACGGCATTGCCGCCCCTCCTGGCAAAATAATAAGCAAGCGATTGCCAGGAGGGGCGGCAATGCCGTCCAGCATGTAAATTGGGACGAGTAAACATGGCGATGGCAGACGAAGCAGATATGGAATTTCTTTCGAATATTAAAGAACTATTTATGAAACAAAATAAGAAGTTATGAATATTCTGATCTTTTAAACATAATTATAATGCACGAGTAAGTATAATACAATTTCTAACTTTCTATTTAACAACACTACACCTGTCCTATTGCCCGTGATGTGTTCAAAATCACCTCAAATTTGAATAAATCCAATCCCAAAAACTAGTTAAAAATTTATGCATGCGGAACAAGCAGTTGTGCCAATGTTTACAGACCACCGTCCACAGTACTACTTGGTTTGTGGGTTCAAATCCCAAAACGCTGAACTTATAAGTTACTAAAAAAAAAAATGGATCCGATGGATCCGGTGGATCTGATGGATCCGATGGATCTGATGGATCCGATGGATCCGATGGATCTGGTGGATCCGATGGATCCGATGGATCTGGTGGATCCGATGGATCTGATGGATCCGGTGGATCCGATGGATCCGATGGATCTGATGGATCCGGTGGATCCGATGGATCTGATGGATCTGGTGGATCTGGTGGATCCGATGGATCTGGTGGATCCGATGGATCCGATGGATCCGGTGGATCCGATGGATCTGGTGGATCCGATGGATCTGGTGGATCTGATGGATCTGGTGGATCTGATGGATCTGATGGATCCGATGGATCTGGTGGATCCGATGGATCTGGTGGATCCGATGGATCTGATGGATCCGATGGATCTGGTGGATCCGATGGATCCGGTGGATCTGATGGATCCGATGGATCTGATGATCCATCAGATCCATCGGATCCATCAGATCCACCAGATCCATCCGATCCATCAGATCCATTTTTTTTTTAGTAACTTATAAGTTCAGTGTTTTGGGATTTGAACCCACAAACCAAGTAGTACTGTGGACGGTGGTCTGTAAACATTGGCACAACTGCTTGTTCCGCATGCATAAATTTTTAACTAGTTTCTGGGATTGGATTTATTCAAATTTGAGGTGATTTTGAACACATATTGGTATGTTACTCATGATATGAGTAAAATATTGTTCGTTTATACATTGTTCTAGTTTCTATAGCTTTTTATTTGTCTTATCAGTTGAAATATATGTTGTGATTGTTTACGAAGTATATGGAATTATTTGTGAATTGTTCGTTCATTTTATGCATGACGAATCCCGAAATTTATAGTTTGATGGTCACAACAAATTTGAGCATAAAAATGTTAAAATTGTACACCCAAAACAGTAGGTATTATATTCGAAATCACCGGAACACGACTAGTTTTAAATATGCTTGAATTGAATGTCATACATGCATGATTTCAAAAGTTTTTAAACAGATAACCGATCAGAACTTTTGAAATACTCCATGTATGAAATTCAGTTCAAGCATATTTAAAACTAGTCGTGTTCCAGTGATTTCGAATATAATACCTAGTGTTTTAGTGTACAATTTTAACATTTTTATGCTCAAATTTGTTGTGACCATCAAACTATAAATTTCGGGTTTCGTCATGCATAAAATGAACCATGGATAATAAAATAAATGGATAGGAAACTAGCTGACGTGACCTAATGTTTTCAATGGGCTGATGGCGTGATTGGATGTTGAAACCACAGAGTAGAGACATACAGAGACGTAACTAGTGTACCCACTTTTTTGTGCGCATGCTCGGCAAGTTACTAGATGCATGCATCTGATTGGATGACGACCTGATGACGACTCACTTTAAACTTGCTGAGCACGCGCAGTTGATCATTTTTCGCCCGGTCGCCTGAAAAAAAGTGGGTACATGAAAACGCAGACAACGGTCAGTTACGTCTCTGTATGTCTTATCTACTCTGTGTTGAAACCTAGTTGCAAACCAAATTCTCAAAAACGGCATGTTTAGCAATAATACAGCTAAATATTTTAGTCAAAGAGCAAATGAATATAACTACGCCATTCTACGATGAAATCTCTAAGTATTCCCGGTCAATTTTAGCAAATATTTCAAGCACTAAACAGTGAAAAGGCATCCCAAATTTCGTTAAAATTGGGGACGCCAATTTCGTAGCTACAAATGTAAAAAAATACAAAACAAAGACGAAAAACATTTACCCTGAATACTTTGTCGTGGCTTAGGCATGTTTTTAAAACAATTAGACCAGTATATGCTTCAATATTACTCTTTTAAAGCGGAAAGTATAGCGAAACAACAAAAATGCCGAGAACTTTGCAATACGCGTGACGTCACAGATTGCAACTAGGTTGTTTTTGCTTACGTCAGCTAGAGTCCTATCCATTTATTTTATTATCCATGGGTTAAGCTAACCCAGCTTTGAACAACCGACCCCTGGAAACTAAACAGAAGGCTTTATGTTTTTGTCGGAGTTTATGTTAATTTCTGTACGGTTACGTTGATGAGCTCATTGTATTTTCGTATTCTGAAGTAATCGTTCAATAGAGATGGCTGAGATAAAACGTGCAGCAACCACGATGAATAATAATTGAGGACGTTGAGACAAAGGATTTGTACTCGGTGAGGGACGGTTCAACATCAAACAAAGCTCTTCTGTTCTGTAGCTGTTCTCACCAAAAGTCGGGTACATAAATATAATAAGCAATTATTGGATGAGGCTGAGCATGATATCAAGAATTATTCAGACTGAGGTCAATGTTATCTGCCGAAGCGAAGCTGAGGCGGATAACATAGACCGAGGTCTGAATAATTCTTGATATCATGCGAAAGCCGAATCCAATAATTGTTTTATTATACATTTAAAGACATGAGAAACGTATAAAACGATTCCTGTTCATGAGGTAGGAAAAGTACAATTTGAATATCAAACACCTTGCACAAAATCAAAGGTCAGCTAAATATTCTATTTCTACTTCTATTTACCCCTTTGTGGCTTTTTTCGTGCTTTCACTATCCTTATCTGCCAATAATTCGGAGAGTTCACTTTCATTCAGCGAAGCAAATCTGCTGTAGGCCATTGTTTTTTTTGGTTTTTTTCGCGATCTTATAGGTTCAAGCTTTTGGCCGCGCAAGGGTTTGGGCACGAGAGAGTCCAATAATTTTTATTTTGGATGCAAGTTCGATCCAAAAAAACAATTATTGGACGCCGATGACGTCATCGGCGGAAAATACGTAATAAATGCCGAATACTGAAAATTAGCCGGTGCTTTCTGACCAATTAGAAACGAGAATACATATTAAATGTATAATAATAACTATTATTGACAATGCTTTACCTTGACTCCTTCATACTCAGAGATCTCTATGATAAACTCCATGGCAGAATTCTTAATTCTTGAAGTCTATATATTCATACAGGTTATAGTAAAGATGGCTGCGTGTTCACACCACAAATGGGAAATAAATATAAAGATGACTACTGGTTGTTTCTTTCAGTAGTGCCTATGCCAACATATGACTTAAATATCCTTTAAAAGTTATCTTATACAAATATACTTACCATATCTCCTGTTTTGGGCAGCAATAAAGGAATAGTCTAAAAACGATCAATAGAAAAACATTTTATGCAATAATGAAACTAACACATATGTGCAACAATCTACCATTAAAGTGTTTTTTGAAGTACACTAATAACTTATTATGCACCACTGTAATCTGGAGCCGGTTAATAGTTCGAAAGCCGGTCACCTTAACCCTAGGTCAACCGAAAATTCAAAGCAAATTTCCACCCAGTTTGTTTTTAAACTTGGAAATATTTCTTCAGAATCTTGTCTGGATCAATAGGAGTTTTCTTTTCAGAAGTTTTGAAATAAATGCATGGACGTGCAGAAATACACAATAAAACAGCGGTTTAATTCTAAGATTTGTACTAATCCAGCATTGCACAACCGGCCCAGGACTATGTAAGTTTCACAAACCATGCATTAACCGACGTATACAGTATAAGTGTCCTCCACTATTACATTAATTATTACCTTTTGCAGAACAAATGGGATTTCGCTTTGAGCTTCTCTAAATATAAATAAAATTGGACATGTTAGAATTAACAAAAGTAAGTTGTTTATACTTTTATGATAACGAAAAGCTTATCACGTTCTTATAACGTTCCCTTATCAGAGCAACTCTACTTACTGCTTTGGGATGTAAGTTGTGAGCAAATCTTTTAAGATGGACAGGCAAAGAACAAACACCTGTGAATATAGTATTAAAAAAGATATGTTATATGAGTAAAGGGTAAAGAGAGTAAAGGGTAAAGAGAGTAAATTATTCGTGAAGAGGGGATAAATAGGGATGAAAGGGAGTCAGCCCCATCCTCGTCACAACAAATTATTATGCCTGCTCAAACTACTGTATATGCCTGCTCAAACTTGCCCGCGAGGAAGCCTCTCAGGTATTTCACCACTGTTGGTTACCACGAGTTAAACATCATTCTCACCGGATGTACTTGCTCATTGATTCCCTTCTTCAACAGATCAACAACAGCTCGGATGACAGACCTTGAATCACGTTCGGCGATCGACTCCGGTTTCTCTGAAGTTAATTCTCTTTTAATGACCTCCATTCCTTCTTGACGATATTTCCATTGTTTCGTGTAGACACAACGAACCTGAGAAAAAGTTGAATATGTGGGTTCACGACGTTCACACTAATCCCTTTTCGTATTGCTCGACCATTGATCTCTATGGAGAACAATTCGAAAACGCTATGAAAACGGATTAGTGTGGTCGTAGCCTACGGCTTGCATAGGTAAATTCAATCGGTAAAGTTTTGAAGGACTTGTAAGAAAGTTTAAAGTGCCTATGACACGAAATTTCACCCCAAAGGTTTATGATTGCATTGTAAAGATCACTCAAAATGACTTAATAATTTCTTTTACAGAATTTTGGTAACTTGCTTCCTTTGCAAGATATTCAAATTTGTTTCATATGCAAATATCACCGGTGTGACATCACATCACATAATGAGTTTTCAGAAAAGTATAGTTTTCTTGACGAATACGTATCTAAAACACTTACAAATTGCCCTTGTATATGTATTAATTTCATGACTGGTAATTAACCCTCTGTATTTGTTTGTAAAAATATTTTATCAAGGTAAAATATTGCGTTTTCAAAATGTCATTATGCGATGTGATATGAAACAAAGTTGAATATTTTGCAAAGGAAGCAAGTTACCAAAATTCTATAAAAGAAATTATGAAGTCATTTTAAGTGATCTTTACAATGCAATCATAAACATTTGGGGAGAAATTTCGTGTCATAGGCACTTTAAGCAAACTGATTTAATGTTAAACAGTGAGTCAGTTTCCTCAAACATTTCTTACAAATCCTTCAAAACTTAGAATTCCCCGATGCAAAATTCCTACTGTTATCACAGAAACTTTAATAGTGTGAACAAGGCTTAACATGCAGTAAATGGTAATAGACCGGCTGACATCGAAGTGAAAAACAACGTTAATCCCTTTTGTTATATAGGAATTTAAGAAACAGCGATGCGAAAACTTCTTAGCCGTGAGAAAATAAAAAATATGCTTCGTTAATCCTTACAACATGTTCTCCAAAAACATCAATTGCCAAAGCGGCTTCCCTTGCGTCCTTTTCTTTCAGTTCACTGGGTCCACCTAGAAAAAATGCAATTGTTTAGAATATATACTATAGCTTTATACCAAGAGCAGAAAATAAATAGGAAGAGTTACATTACTGTACCTTGTGACGGAGACGTTGTGTTCTCTAGAAAATAAATTTAACAAATGTCGGCAACAATATTAATATGTTTTTGAACAGTAGTTAATTGATTAAAATTAAAAAGAACTAACAAAAACAATAGTGGTCTCGAAAATGATGTCTTTCAGTTAGCTGTATACCTGTTGGACTCTGGTCAACTGGTTCTTGCGTATCTCTGCGAAAAAAGGACGAAATATTAAAGTATATAAGGAAGTAGTATAAGAACACATGCTACAAGTTGTAAAATGACTACAGGGTTGTACAATACTTTACTTTTTAGCCATTGTTGGTAGCGGTCTTTCGTCTGCAGCAGTTTTCTAAAAAGAGAACGTCGACATTAGGCAACTAACTTTATTTATCCTGGATAGTTCCATCTGTTCAAAACTGTTCTTCTTTGGCGTCCATCCAGTACGGTTCGTCTCTTATTGATCCAGTGTTACTACAGGAGGAAACTAAAATAACTTCTTTTATATTCTAGATAGCTCCATCTGTTCTAAAATGTTCTTCTTTGGCGTCCATCCAGTACGGTTCGTCTCTTATTGATCCAGTGTTACTACAGGAGGAAACTAAACTAACTACTTTTATATATTGGATACTCAGACACAGACAGTTCGAGTTATAAAACTATACATGCCCAAATCATATAGAGTACCTCACCTGCACAGGAGAGACTCTGGGTGACGAAGGACTTTGTTCTTTATCTTCGGGAGGTCTGGGACTTATATTTGGCGATTTTGTCGGAGCGGGGACCTCGGGGGACTGGGTCTCAGGTACGGCACGTCTTGTTATCGGGGGTAAAGGTGGTGACTGAGGCGAACGAGTACTGGGCGGGGCATGATTCGAATTACGATCTGTCATCGGAGGCGCTTCCTTGTGGGACTGCAAGAGAACAAGGTTCAACAAAACCATTTCACGTCGGTTTTAGGAAATAGACGAGAACTACACACGCTTCTTAACAACTTGTCAACAAGATGAGTTCTCAACAGGCTTGTAACAAGCTTGTTAACAAGTTGTGAATATTGATTCTCAACAGACTTGTAGCAAGCTTGTTAACAAGTTGTGAATATTGATTCTCAACAGACTTGTAGTAAGCTTGTTAACAAGTTGTGAATATTGATTCTCAACAGACTTGTAACAAGCTTGTTAACAAGTTGTGAATATTGATTCTCAACAGGCTTGTAGCAAGCTTGTTAACAAGTTGTGAACATTGATTCTCAACAGGCTTGTAGCAAGATTGTTAACAAGTTGTGAATATTGATTCTCAACAGGCTTGTAGCAAGATTGTTAACAAGTTGTGAACATTGATTCTCAACAGGCTTGTAGCAAGATTGTTAACAAGTTGTGAATATTGATTCTCAACAGGCTTGTAGCAAGATTGTTAACAAGTTGTGAAGATTCTCAACAGGCTTGTAGCAAGATTGTTAACAAGTTGTGAAGATTCTCAACAGGCTTGTAGCAAGATTGTTAACAAGTTGTGAATGATTCTCAACAGGCTTGTAGCAAGATTGTTAACAAGTTGTGAATATAGATTCTCAACAGGCTTGTAGCAAGCTTGTTAACAAGTTGTGAACATTGATTCTCAACAGGCTTGTAGCAAGATTGTTAACAAGTTGTGAACATTGATTCTCAACAGGCTTGTAGCAAGATTGTTAACAAGTTGTGAACATTGATTCTCAACAGGCTTGTAGCAAGATTGTTAACAAGTTGTGAATATTGATTCTCAACAGGCTTGTAGCAAGATTGTTAACAAGTTGTGAACATTGATTCTCAACAGGCTTGTAGCAAGATTGTTAACAAGTTGTGAACATTGATTCTCAACAGGCTTGTAGCAAGATTGTTAACAAGTTGTGAACATTGATTCTCAACAGGCTTGTAGCAAGATTGTTAACAAGTTGTGAACATTGATTCTCAACAGGCTTGTAGCAAGATTGTTAACAAGTTGTGAACATTGATTCTCAACAGGCTTGTAGCAAGATTGTTAACAAGTTGTGAACATTGATTCTCAACAGGCTTGTAGCAAGATTGTTAACAAGTTGTGAACATTGATTCTCAACAGGCTTGTAGCAAGATTGTTAACAAGTTGTGAACATTGATTCTCAACAGACTTGTAGCAAGATTGTTAACAAGTTGTGAACATTGATTCTCAACAGGCTTGTAGCAAGATTGTTAACAAGTTGTGAACATTGATTCTCAACAGGCTTGTAGCAAGATTGTTAACAAGTTGTGAACATTGATTCTCAACAGGCTTGTAGCAAGATTGTTAACAAGTTGTGAACATTGATTCTCAACAGGCTTGTAGCAAGATTGTTAACAAGTTGTGAAAAGATGTGTTCTCAACAGGCTTGTAGCAAGATTGTTAACAAGTTGTGAATATTGATTCTCAACAGGCTTGTAGCAAGATTGTTATCAAGTTGTGAATATTGATTCTCAACAGGCTTGTAGCAAGATTGTTAACAAGTTGTGAACATTGATTCTCAACAGGCTTGTAGCAAGATTGTTAACAAGTTGTGAACATTGATTCTCAACAGGCTTGTAGCAAGATTGTTAACAAGTTGTGAAAAGATGTGTTCTCAACAGGCTTGTAGCAAGATTGTTAACAAGTTGTGGAAAGATGTGTTCCCAACAGGCTTGTAGCAAGCTTGTTAACAAGTTGTGACAATGCTGTTTCAACAACTTGTCAGGAAGATGAGTTCTTAACAGGCTTGTAGTAAGCTTGTTAACAAGTTGTAACAATGATGTTCCAACAACTTGTCAACAAGATGTGTTGAAGCTTGATAACAAGTTGAAACAATGGTATTCCAACAACTTGTCAACAAGGAATTTCAGTTTACTTGGCCGTCATGATATTCACTTGCCCTGGGCAAGCGGGCAAGTGTGAAGTTACACCTCTAATTTGAAAACAGATTTCTGGCTTTTGAAAAAGGAGTTCAGGCATTCCAAAACTGAGTTTTGGGTGGATGAAGTTTGTGACAAGTCGGTTTTAGAAGAATACCTCTTCAATAATACCAGCGGATACCAGGCGATCTGTGACCACTTTACGATACTCGTCAATTTGTTGCTGAAAATTATGAAATCAAAATTATCCATATTTTAATGGCGATAAAACTTTTGAGGGATGAAGATTGCAAGGACAAAAGAACGGCATAATTTATTCCAACCTCCCGATACATGTACATTGCGAAGTGTTCATCACTGATTAATAGCTATTAGTAAGTATTCCCAATAAAGTAATTTTGAGTAGAAATGGATAGATTAACAAAGTGAGTCAACACTTTGCCGAAAGTCGTGGGTTGTGACGTATTTGGATGTAATGTTGTATTGTAAACTTGGCGAAACAAACAAACAAACAAACAAACAAACAAACAAACAAACAAACAAACAAACAAACAAACAAACAAACAAACGGAGATGCATAAAATGTGTGAAGTACTATACTACCTAACACGTTAACTCTGGAACGTGAAGGCCCTGGTATATCACTTTATTGTTACTTTAGCATGTCATTGAATACTTCATGTTATAAACCACAAAACATGAGTATGGAATAATCATGTGACCATAGGAACTGGCCACGTGACATGCGTTGTGTACCCGCACCTACAACCAGTGTAAAGACTAATAATAAACACAACTTCAAACAACCTTCTTAACCATAGCTAAATCATAATCTTCAATTTCGATTGCTTTTTGCTTTTCAACATTCAGACGACCAAGTCTTTCCCCAACCTAAAAGACACGAACAACTAATGGATTAAAGATTCATCCATTAATTGATTCACTGGTTAATCAATTTGATTAATCAATTTGTTGATAGATTAGGAAGCTGGTCGATTCGTTAATTAATTAACTGATTGATAACCTATTAGATTAATTACCTGATTGATTGTTTGCCAGACTGATAGTTTACAAACTAAATAGCTAATTGATTAAGTGATTGATTAGCGGATTTACTAGCTGATTGACCGATTAGCTATTTGATTGATTAGCTATTTGATTGATTAGCTGTTTGATCATTCAGCTGATTGATTGATGGTTAATTAGTTAATTAATTACCATATAGATTGACTAGCTGATTGTTAATTAGCTAATCGTTTAATTAGATTGATTGATTAATTAACTGATTGATTATCCAATTGATTATCCAATTGATTAGTTAGCTGATTGATTAGCTGATTTACTGCTAGGCTAATTGACTGATCCAAAATTATGGAAAACATGCCTTGTGAAGATCGTTAATAACTTGATGAAACTTTTTTGCTTCAACAAACTCATCCTCTAAGCAAGAAGAGAAAGTACATTTATGAGCAAAAATGGAGTCAATATATAAGTTCAAGACATCATTTCGTAAAACCTTTTATAGCTTCTTTCTTTCTCAATTCCAGTTCTCGAATTATCTCAGCCGTTTGTGGATCCTAAAGCAAGCAATGAGCGGAAGCGTATTAATTGTTGGTCGGTAAGAAGGCCTCTTGTGGATGAATGTTAGAGTGTTTACTAACGAAGAGCACAAAGCCAAGATTATCGTTACCTGGTACATAGCAAACGCTATGTCATCCAGTGGTGAAATATAATCAGGTCTATAATAAAAAAATCATAATCACAACAATTTCGAACGATTGGTGTCAGTACACATAGGGTTGAGAACAAGAAACAGTCTTTATATTAAGAAATACAACTATCAGAGAAATATAAAAAGAATTCCCGCGAAGACCCCTCGCTTACATTATTAGATTACAGTACATACATTGCAATGCCAAAAGAAAGTTAGGCTTTGCTTTATATTCGCTGCTTGATTTTGCTAGAATTTTTAAATTTAGAATCTCTGAAATTTGACGGAATTCTGATGGTCAGAAAACAGCGTTTTAGTATGTCGACATTTACAATGTGGTAGTACTACAGTAAATGGGCGAAGGTGTGTTTAATTAACTATATATTGGATAAGTTGCAGGAAAGTGTGGGTAATATCTTCATTCTTTGCTACGGCCCTGAGTTGTTATTCTGTTTGTTAGTTGGTTAGTTTGTTCGGAATTTAACTTACTTATTAATTTTCCCCCACAACGGGTCACCGGGCATAAGATTCTCTTGTTTCATGTACTGATCAACCAGTTTGTTGGCGGACTAACATTTCAAAAAAAAAAATACAAATCACTATATATTGCACCAAATATAGAGTTTATCAGTTCAGAATTAACCAAGATTAACCAAAATTATAAATTATTATTCTTATACTCACACTACTGTCATTAAACTCATGGAAACTTTCAATGTTCTCCGCAATCACGTTCGTGGCAATTATTTGCACCTGTCACAATTTAATTAACGTTGATATAATTACATTTGATGATAATGTGTGATTAATTGAGTCAATTAATTGGTTGCAGTAATGTAAATGAGCAAATTCAGAAGTAGTTATTGTTTTTAAGATATTAAAATCACCTGATTGTATAAATTGTATTTGTTGACATGGTTTTTATGGATAAATAGTTTGACAAACTGTCCATGGGCATCTAAATGAACTGATTTAAGCTCTCTTGACTAAAAGGAACAAAAAATTAATTTTTAAAATATTGTATACGAGCAGATAATTTCACAAAATATAAATATTTGTTCTGAAACTTGGTTTTTTTAATACAGCGTTACATTATACTGTAGATAAACTGAATCTTCAGCTAAGTACTGTACTTGCATGGTATGTGTAAATTCCTCAACTCGGTCACTATAACTTGTTAGCCTAGACTTCTAACAACTCAAAATATAGGGTCTGGGATATGCTATCCACTGGGGAAATCTAAGGTGCTCACAACACAATATTAAGCATTGAATATTTGAAATTTACATTGAATATTTGAAAGACATGACATACTGTAAGATTCACAAGGCAATGTTCAATTGCTAAAATATCAAACATCCCTTCTAAATTCTCTTTTTCTTCCAATATTGTGCTTATATTTTAGAGAAAAGGGCATAATTTGTTGACAGAGGTATGTAGGCTGTTACAAGTGCCTCTACATGTAATTTGTTCAGTGTTACTCCAGGCAATAAGGCCTAAAAAAATACCAGTGGTTCCGATTTCTCGATTGACCCTACAGTACTGCCAAGAAATAACTTATCAAAAACCGCGTCCAAGACGCGGGTATCTTGCGTCCACTGTGCGCCTGCGGGTGCGTCCATCCTGCGGGCGCCGTGCGTCCGTCGTGCGTCCACTGTGCGTCTGCGGGTGCGTCCACTGTGCGGGCGCCATGCGTCCGCTTTGCGTCTCCGACCCTATTATTTTTTTCAACGTGATTGACTGTGCACCCTATTTTCTCATAAGGCATGCCAAAATGATGTCTGTTGTCACAATAATTATTGAACCAAATTGCCTAAATTCATCCATAGGAAATATTAATATTGATGACAGGACTCTACTGAAAATTGCCCAGCAAAAACCGCCAAAACTATGAAAAAAATATTTAAAAAAAATTTATTTCCGACCTACCTATCCTGGATAATTTTTCACGATATGAAACCGGAACCACAGTTATTTATTTTAGGCCTATGGGAACCTTCAAACACAGACAGTCAATATCACCAACCTTGTAGTCAGTAGTCTGGTTGTCAACCAAGCTTACATGTCTGTAAATTAATTTCCAAGAAAAAAACAATATTGAGTGAAAAAGTGACACTCTCAGCAACAATACTGTATAATATTATGTTATATCAATATTATGTTAGATCCTCGTGTTACCACGTTCTTAATATATACTCACCCAAGCCTTTTAAATTTACAAGTTAAAAGTGAAGACGACTGTCCTTCTGGAATACTACCAATAAATATTTCAATCTTTGTGGCTGACAAAGCAAAAATAGATAAATACTGTAGCAATCAATTTATATTTCGAGTGCATTGTTGCAAGCAACGGTTTTATCAACATGGATGTCAGATTGCCGAGGGGGGACCGGATTAAAAACTGTGTTAAATGTATCAGTTTGTGGTAATCTTCAACACATATGACAAAACATTAGATTTGTCATTCCTTACACAAGTGCTATATAATGCAAAATGCTGCCGAAACTTTTTGGGTGACAAAGACGTTGCTTGCGCTCGCTATCACTAACGCCAAACAAATTTTTTCATTAAACGCTTGATGCTCAATGAGTTAATAATCGTTGTAGTCCACTTACGTATTAAATACTGATGCGCAAGAATTTGCAATTTACGAATCCTCATGGATTCTTGCAACATCAGAATGATTTCTTGTGGATATACACAAAATCTAAATGAACCGAATAAATAATCTTTGGTATTTGTGAAAACCCACTATAACCAACATACAGAGAGTAACAAAATATTCATTTCGAAATATATTACTTGGACGATCTCCATCCTTTCGTGGTAGGCGAATGTATTTCCAATTCTTTTGCACTGTAGCCGTCATCAGAACCAGAAGCATGAACTACTTTGAACGGAACTTTCTTGGCCATCAACAACACACACGATTGCACTCTATGGAGGAGAAAAAAGTTAATTCAATGCTAGTCATGTTTTTTGATGGCATCTTTCTTGCATTGCACATAGTTTGTTGATATTCACTGTTTTCTTATTAAGGTAACAATATTGAATAAAATTATGCTAAAAATGTGTGATGCAAAATTAGAATTCAATATAACACATCTTGTACTATTATGCTTCACTTTAACATTTATTTATATTTTTATTTAATAAATCACACAAGTCCTTTGTGGCCAAAATTGGGTAGCAAAGAGTTCGGTTTTCAGGAGGTAAGAGCCCCCAGAAAAGATGGAGAAACAACATCAGGGTGAGAGTAAGGCTGCTGGAACCAGAATGAACTGAGATAAAGTTTCGCCAAGCCTTTTGCTGATAAGTGAAGAATATAATGGATTGAATACTGTGTTATAAGGCCGCATAAAAAACATAGTTGGTTAGTATCCTTAGCTTTTGCCAAAAAGTGGGCGGGAGTGTTTTTTCTTTTAATTTATACTAATTTTTAACACCTTGGTTTTAGGTCCAAAACTGGATTTTCTTGCACAGTACAGATATTTTTTTTATATAATTCAAAATATGATTCACACCGTCATTTTCGCACGCTTTATATTCTAGAACAAGTTTTTACTTAAAGATTTACTATATAGTGGAAGTTAATATCTTGCACATTTAAAGTTATTACTGTAAAATAAAAGCTTTTAAAAAATCCTGAGCAGGGCCTTTTTTGTGGCCGGGGGAGGATGCTAACCAACTATTTTTTTTATGTGGCCTAAAGAATATATGTGTAATGTGAAATACTTTTGCATCTTTCACATTATAAAGTTGTCAGTATAAATTTTGACTTCTGACTGTTGAGAACATGCATTACAGTATGGTAATTATGCCATTCAAACAAGTGCATGAATGATTTATTTCACATGTAACTAAGTGACCATGAATTTGCATCTTTACAAGTTTCTTAAGGAATTTGAAAAAGCATGCACTCGGGAGTTTTTCAAAGACTTCAAATTGCACTCGTCTCATATGCTTTTTTCCAAGTGTGCAACTCGAATCCATACCTATACAAAGTGAAATTGCCCCAAGTGTTTATATTGTGATTAAGTGGCTCTTGACAACATTGCCTTTTTTAAGTGGATGCATGAGATTATGAGCTAATTTGAATTCCAGTGGCTTTATTTATTACTAAAGTCTGGTTAGCAGTCAAAATATATCATATACCTGTCTTATTATAAACACAAGATGAATGATTCTTGGAAAAATGATGTCTACTATTTTTCTTTCTTTTCTATTTTTCTTTCTCCAAATTTGTAACAAAAATCTTCAGTCAGATTGTCAAAAAATGCAGTCTCTCCAAGTTTGTTTGAACAGTTAAATACCTAACCTAAGTTCGTAGATACAGATCTACAAATACTGCAAAATATAAGGCAATCTATATTAATTCTATTATAGTATTTAGAAATTAATTATAATAAACTTTCAATATATATTGCCTGCACATCTAAATATATTAAAACATTCACTTTTATATGATCGATCATTCACTGTCTAAGACTATGCCAAAACAACTTCCAACAATGAAATCACACCCAACTCATTGCCATCCAACCAACGCAATAGACTTCCCATTTTCCCCTTGTGGAACGTGGGCACTTACCTAGCAAAAATATGATAACACGCTACACCAAAACACGCTGATTTTAACCCAAAAATTCAGCCATTTCGCTTGCAGATCGGTAGCTAGTCTTTCTCATACTTATAAAGCAAGACATAAAATTTACCGATTTCAAAAAAAACCCACACTTTCGCGCCAACGTTGAAGGAAATTAGCCCAACAATGAATATAAATATTTATCCTCAAAAAAACAAACTTGGCAACCATTACGAGCCAGCAAGACACTACCACCAGCGGATGTTCACCACAGAACAAAACGTTATAGTCTAGCGTCACCAGAGATTCGTTATTTTTTGTTTACAAACAAAATGCAATGTCTGATCGAAGTAAACAAACGCGTTTGGTGCAATACGATTGGCTAGAAAGTCAAGAGGGCAGGGAGTTTTTGGGCGTGCTGTTGAGGCGAAATAAACGTAGAATTTTTGGTTTGTAAATTACATTTGACATTTTGTACCGTCATTTGCATCGAAAAGTGGACAATAGCAGATTAAAACATTTATGCTCACGTGACACTTCAATGTTGGTAGCAGGATTTCCAATTCGAAGGATTTTCCCCCTATTGAGGAAATTCTGTCACGTTAGACATTATTCTGCCCGTTGCGGCAAGGTTTAGCTTATTCCTTCGAAAACCGAGGTCTCGGATTCAAAAGGTTGCGGGTCAAAATAGGTTGGGGGGTTGAAACCAAGCTGCGACAGGCAAATGACTGTTCTTGAATATACGATGATGGTAGTAGCAAAATTGCTACAAGTTGTTCCAACAAGACTAATACACATACAAGTTGTGTTCGCACTGCTTGTCCCAAGTTGTCAACAAGTTTGGAACAAGCTGTTAACAACTTGTAACAATCTTGTTGATCTTATCAAGCTTGTAACAAGGTTGTTCCAACAAGTCTGATGAAGTCATGTTACAACCTTGTGTTGTCAACCTTGTAACATTCTTGTTTATCATGACTGCATCAGACTTGTTAGAACAACCTTGTAACCAGTCTGATAATTAATGCCGTCAAGCTTGTTCCAAGTTGTTAACAGCTTGTTACAACAACTGGGAACAAGCAGTCTGAAGACAACTTGTCGACAGCTTGTGAACAGATTTGTAACAACTTGTTTCCAGACTTAATGTAACAAGTTGTTCCTTTTTTTCCGTGTGTACCATACAAGTTGCTACAAGCTTGTTGTCATCATGCAATGTCTCAACATGTTGTCATATGGACTAGATTAGATTTGCAAATCTGATCTGAATCCAATCTGATTGAATTGTGACACCACATTTGGGTCAGATACATTAGAATAATACATTATAGAATAATAACTTCACATCAGCTACAGAGCTGAACTGAACTTGCTCAACAAATTATATATACAATCTTATTTTCTCACAGGACTATTGGAACAGCCAGGATTTCCGTCTGGGATCACACCAACTATTGTGCCATTCAAATTGTTATTGTTGGGCAAATCTGCTGTGGGAAAAACCAGCACAGTTGCTAAAATTGCTGGGAAGGGTGCGTCTCCCTTTTGCTTTGCCTTTGAAAAAGATTTCTGCTCGGTTAAATCATGATTTATTTGATGACTTTTATTTACACAGAACTTCCAGCTATTTACAGTGAAACACCAGGAATTCAAACAACATTAATTTACTGGCCTGCCAAGGTAAATTGTGGACAACGCTATCCAGTATACACCCTGCCTGGCCCTGGGTTATACATATCCTTAGACGAACGCATTCATAAATATACTCAAAAAACAAAATAACTGAGTGGTGTGAACAGACATACGCAATCTCAAGCATCCAAATCACTAGAGAACTGCTACTAAAGATGAACAAAAAAACGGACTTTTGAGATATGTTTTCGATTTTATTCATTGCAGTTGGTATCCTCTTCAAAAGTTGTTCTATTTAAACTGCATTTCTGGGATGTTGGTGATTCTGCCATGAAAAAATTTGACCATATCAAGACGGTGAGTTCGTTCTACTCCATCCTCCAATTAACTGTTTTTGCTTCTAACGAACCACTTAACGAACCACTTAACCACTTTGGTCATTTTTATTTCGTTTTCTTTTAGTCTGCCCATATGAAACCGGACGCTGTTATCTTTTTCTTCTCTTTTACAGACAGGTGAACTTTGTAACGGCAGAGTTTTGTAAATGAAAAATACAAAATGAACTTCGTTCGGTTGGAAGGTCGAAATTCTGTTTGTATTTTTTATCTCTTCTCTGACCAACTCTGTAACAAAACTCTGCTACTCACTACTCAGCCACCGTTCGAGATTTTAATATTACAGAAGTATTTACCTATACATGATTCGTAGCGGTCCTTGAAATCCTTGAAAGTCTTTAAATTTGAATGCACTGAAGTCTTTGAGGTCTTTGAAGTCTTTGAATTGTGTAAAAAAAGCGAAGAGTCTTTAAATTCTCTAGTGTCAAGTAGTGAGTATTTGATTATACGATTTCCTGCTAATAAAATAGATTGATTGAAGCAAGATTTTGGCAAATATCGACGAAAAGGTGCATTTTAGGATGTGATTTGAAGGGAATAATTACTGGATAAAAATGATTGCTCTCAAAGATCTTTTCAAAGTCTTTAAAAATAGGCAGAAAAAATCTTTGAAAGTCTTTGAATAATCAAATTAGATTGGATTAAATAACATTCGTGTGATTTATCTACTGCAAATCAAACCTGTTCATATGCGTCTTATTTATTGCGGAATCTTTCGTTTCAGAGCCAGTTTTGATGATTTACCATATTTAGTGACGAGAACTTGTGATGAATTAAGTGACTTACCTAAAATTACCATAGGCACGAAATATCCTTTTTATACCAGAAGCGTTGCTCGTATTCTTCAATAAACTTTCGTGGTTTGTGGCTGAACGATTTTGAAAAAGATATCTCAAGTGTGGAGATCCAGTGTGTCAACAAAATGTGTTCGCAACAGGCTTGTAGCAAGCTTGTCAACAATGCTGTTATTTTATTAATTTGCTACAAGGTTGTCACTCACAACTTGTTGACAAATTGTTGAATTGCAGGACGATAATTGCAGGACGATAACAAGTTGTTGGAACAACTTGTAACAAGTCTGTTGAGCTCAACAACCTTGTAGCAAGTTGTCAACAAGCTGGGAACAAGCAGTGCGAACACATCCTGTTGACAAGTTATTGGAACAGCATTGCTACAAGTCTGCTGCAGGTTTGTTACAACTTGTGCGTTTTTACGTCTGTATTCTTGTGTGTTTTTACGTGTGTAAGCTGTTGCGGTTTGTGTCAGAACTACCTGAAAAAGATGTCTCACGTGTGGGGATGCAGTGTAGGTAGTATTCCTCAATAAACTGTTGTGTTTTTGTCTGGGAGAACCACAACAGAAGACCCTTATATTCGTCACAAACGGAACAAGTTTCCTTAACATCAAATCCAAATTTGACAAAGTGATTAACAGCGAGATTACCGAAGAAGAACTACGAGATTTCCAAGAACAATGGAACATTCCAATATTGAAAATTTGTAACAATGAAGGACGCAAATTGGCCGACGGAAGTTTAGATGGCAGGGCTGGGATTATGGTGAGATGGTTCATTCTTTATTGATCCAATGTTACTACAGTAGGGGACCAGAGTGTCTGGAGAAAACCTACATAGGGCGTGTGGTAAAGTCAAAATAATGCACTCGCCTTACAGCAGGGGGCGCTGGTGGGGACAGGGTTGGGGGCAAGGGGGCCAACCCCCGGCTTGTAACAAGCTTGTTGATATTATCAGACTTGTTGCAAGGTTGTTCCAACAAGTCTGATACAGTCATGGTATAACAATATTGTTACAACCTTGTGTCGTCAACCTTGTAACATTCTTGCTATATCATGACCGTATCAGACTTGTTAGAACAACCTTGTAACAAGTCTAATAATGCCATCAAGCTTGTTACAAGTTGTTAACAGTTTGTAACAAGCTTGTTGATAATATCAGACTTGTTCCAAGGTTGTTCCAACAAGTCCGATACAGTCATGATCTAACAAGAATATTACAAGGTTGACTACACAAGGTTGTACCAATATTGTTATATTGTTTCCCAGGAAATCGCGCCAATTCTTAACACCATAATCGAAGTATTATGGAGACGACGTGAGAATGAAAACAGGAAAGTCGGTCAACACAAATCGTCGAAGAAACGTCCGACAAGTAACCAAGGATCGAACAAAACTTTGCAAGATGATCATCATATAACTGACATTTAGAACATAAAATAGACTAGAAATAGATCCAGTTTTCATTGGAATCGTATTATTTCTGTATTTTTTGAAATTGTTGGGTGGTCGTGGCTTTTTGCTATTCGCCCAGAGAAAAAAGCATTCATTTGCAACAACTAATACATATGTATATGTACATAAATATAATATATTTTTACAATGTTTTGTAAATAAATATCAGAAAACGTAATATGTGAATATTAATTACTACAAACGAGTGAAAAATATATAGTTTGCTGGATTTCAGCGAGCACTGTCGTACAACAGATTTTGGTAACATCGCAACCCAACACTTATCGAGCAAACAAATTAAACTACACTTGTTAATTCTGTTTATTTGTCTCCAAATATAAGGCTTACTATATACACTGATTCGAAAAAGAGTTGTCATCATTTTTTCTATCATTTTTACAAAGACTATCATTTTTACAAAGTGTAAATATAATTAACAATTATTCGCCGAAGGCGAGGTGATTATCGGTGAATAAATAAAAAATACAGATTTCTTCGTCATTTAATTAACAAAACGGCTTCGGCCGCCATTTCGAAAATCACTTAGGTGATTATCGCGTTCTAATCACCTCAACGGCAACCAATCAGCGTGGAGAATTTTCAATAATCACCTATGTAATTATACTGATACCATGTATTCTCTTTGAAGTTTTGGCTGGATGTAGCAAACAAGCCTGACCAGCCTCATTTTGGTGGAAGTACGTCACTTTGGATAAAGAGCCTCGTTTTCGTCATTCATACGTCAACTATATCATGACATGCACGAAAACGCGGCCCTATAGGCTATAGCCAAAATGATATACTTCACGGAATTGCCGGTATTTCGCTTACATGGATTGTTTCAATCTTAAACGTTTCCACTGTGCTTCGAGAGCCTGTTCGCAGGCTACCACTTCCTTCAATAAGCAATCTCTGTATGTTTAAAAATAGTTTAATAGCTGGATAATACATAACATTTAAAATAACGCAAAGCAGTGACAAATATAGTTTTCGAATCAGCATATGTATAATAAAAAAAATTCGCATTATTCAATTTTCAATTAGATCGCTAAAGTGACCACAATCTGTTGTACGACATGCACATTGCTTAGCCTACTCGAGATTTTCAGCATTTACTCATACCCACACCGTTTTACCCTTCGATCCTTTACAATCCTCTATATCATACATTTGTCCCTCATCATCACTACGATCCCCAAGGGATCCCAAACTATCTCGTGACACAACACTGTTCCGTAATTGGACAGAGGTTGGGTCCCAGTCCAAACTGTACAAACTTGTCCGCTCGGTCACTTTGGGTTGTTCGGGTGCCTGGACCTCAGATAAAGGTCTGGAAACCTTTGCCGGGGGTTGACCGTTGTGTGTTTTGACTGGTGGATAGGGGGGTAGAACCTCGTGCTCATCGTAACCCTCGACTGATCCAATGGGATCCCATTCTAGGCTAAATCTGGTAGTTGCAGAACCGGTTGAACCGGTACTAATTCGTGCTATCGGATCTCTGGTCTTGGTTCTGAGTTTCTGTCTGCGCATGACAGGTAGTTCTGTTAGGATATCGCCCGCTTCGAGGGCAATCGTCCTTGCAGGCGACGCGGGTTCATGGGAGGGTAATTTTCGACCAATAGAAAAGCTCTTTACTAGTCTTTCTGCCATTGAGCTTTTTTGTGAGGGAGTGGGGGACACTACCCCAACTGGCCTAGCTTTCCCTGGGGATAGCATAGGTTTCCGTGGGTGTTTGGGAGATTTTGCGGGCGCCAAGATAAAGAACGATGCCAAACGGTCCATGTATCTATTCTCCCCAGTCTTCTGATGTGAACACGCTGAACTCGGTTCTGAAGACTCTGGGGGAATTTCAGTGGTGAAAATACTACCGTTTGTTGTCGCGGTTTTATCCACTGCTATTACCGTAAAAGGCGCCGATTGACAGCGCTCGACCTTTTTAATGAATGCTTCAGGTTTTACAGGCAAAGATTTCGATCTTTGACGTTTTGGTGAAAGCGCCCGTTGTATAAGACCCCTGAATGAACTCAGTCGTTTTGATCTCCTTTTGCGATCTGACGTTTTCTCACTTTCCGAATCGTGATTTGTCGGGACACTTTCGTGTTCAATGATCACGATTTCGTGTCCTTTCGTCGCGTCTTCGTAACCTCTCGTGTCGTCGTGCCCTCTCGTCACAACACCATGCATTGACGATGTATGGTCGGAAGAGGATCGTTCGCGTTCGGATGACGATCGAGCACGGTCGGAAGAGCTCGACACACGCTCGGAACACGACGAAGTCAAACTCGATACGTCATTAACACCGGAAGTTGTTGAAGCTGACTTACCTCCGTATCTATCGCTCCACGTCAACGCTCGGGGCTTACTCGTAACCTCCCGGAAGCTGTTGTCTCTCTTTGGGGTCTGTGTCCTAAGCTTCCTTAGGTCTTCGTAGTCACATGACTCGATCCAGGACTTTGTCTTAATGCTGCGCGACGTCCAAGTGTCCATATCGAGAAGACTGTCCGCTGACATGTTTTCTACACTCGACGCCTTCGTAAATTGTCGTTGGTTGTCGCAATCCTCGGTATATTCTGTCAACGTGTTGAGGGACTTCGGTGGATTTAGAGAGTCAAGTGAGTACTTCATGGGATAAAATTGTTCCGCATTGCATTTCTCACATGTACACTCCATGTTTCTTGTGGATAGTGTGTCACTCAGACAAACGGCACTCGGTGAGTATTTCATAAACACCAGAGGGTAGAGTAGACATGCTATAGCCAGGAGAATGGTAACAATTTCGGTCCCAGATTCCTCCCCGGACATATGGGCAATCGTGATAGCCCCATGAGGGATGCCTAGCAACAAAAACGTCAGCACGCCCGCAACAATCAGGCGGATGTCCGTGCGGATTTCTTTATTACGCCTGCCCGCTTTTGGGATAAAAATCCGCCGCCAAAATAGCAGTCCAACCAACATGAGGGCTGAAAAACAGACTCCCAAAACCAGTAACCCACAAATTAGATACATCGCCTGGGCGAATGCCATTTCATAGCTTGCCATACAAAACTTATGCCAAGTCGTAACCCGCGTCCAGGGTGGAATAATAAGTAAGAAAGATAGCACCCAGGCCTCGCAAATGTACACTGCCGAGCGGCGAAACGAGAGCTCTAGAGCAAAACAAAGTTTGTATCCAAGTTTCGTGAATCGCTCTAGTATTATGAAAGTTAGGATCATGACCAACGAATATATCCCAAAATGCTTCAGGAAATAGACCGGGCTACAAACGGACTGGGACCAATTTCCTTGACCAAGCGCACTGGTGTCGTCTCTAGGGGACTGGTGACTATCAGCGACGAGAAGTATCATTACACTTGTCGTTACGAACAAATTCGAGAGAGCCAAACCCACGATAAAAATACTCAGCGGTCTCTGTCGACGAACATGCGTGTAAACACGCGTGACGATCAACGCGAGATTCGAAACCAACGCGAGAGTCGAGATTACCCATAATACAACACGAACCGCCGTTTTGTCTCCCAGAATCTTTGGCGGTACTGAAAGCTCGTCTGTACAATTCATCCTGGTGCTCAAAGGAGTACACAACGCGCACGCGCAGTGCGTATTTCCAAACGGACTGTCCAGCCGGTGAAGGCAAGTTCTCGGAATTTCACAGCGCTCGTTTTTAGAAATTCTTGTGTAATTACACCTTAGGCAAGTATTCCAGGAATCCGCCGAAATTTCTCGTAAATTACCCAAAGTTTTTAGAAATCGTAATGATTTGATACTCGGGTTACCTTCAAGACGCAACTTCGTCAGCAAAGGAGTTTTTTTGAACACCCCGTCATGTACGGTGAAACGTTTGCCATTATTCTGCAGCACTCTAGAAAAGACATATAGTTATTTAGACTAAAAGAAGCAAAGGTGAGGTAAGGGAACCAGTCGGCGTGCTTAATATGATAAATACCAAATATTGAACTTTTTTAGAGCCGCCCCCGATCGCAAAACCTTTACTTTCAAGACGCCCCCACCTTCATCTAGAAAATTTAGGACTCTCCCCCCACACTCCAACATTTAATTCGTTACATTTTTTG